TTTCCCTCTTTTCTGTCTTGTTCAAGTGCCTAAAAATAAGTAAATCGTGAAAATCAAAACTATCTAATATATAAACTCAAGAAATTTGTTTTCTGTTACATAATAGTTGAATTAGGGTGTGGTTGTGAAAGTGAATCTTCTCTTCATAATCGTACAAACTTACACGTACACCAACACACGCTATAATCGCGTGTTTTCTTCTTGATTCAAAATCATTCTTCTTCTGAATCGAAAACTTTCTAAATAATTCCATTAACGTTTGAAATCGTTCCTATTGCTTTCTTTTTTTAAGAAAAGTAAAGATAGGATTTTATCAAAACTAAATTGCTTCTTTCTGACGTTCTCTAGAGAAATAGCTAAGAATGGATTCTTCTAAATGACAAACGCTTTCCAAATCACTCAATGTCATTTTTTCGAAAGAAAAAAAGATGTTTTCTTTCGTTCTTCAAAAGTATAATGGTTCTCATTGATTAAAAAATCATTTTTGGAATTGTAGAATGTGCTGCTATTGCTGGTTTCATAAATTTAATAAAAAGTATTCCGTTACATGGAGACAAATATTGATTAGTTCAGATGATGTTCTTCGTCTATCTTAGATATATGACATGTTTTCTCGTTGCTTCTTGCCTAAAAAGATGATTACCATAAGTCTTACCCTTCTTTTATTAGGATCTATTTCCAAGATTGAATTTTTAGCGGTTGATACCAAGAAATTTTGATGTACAATACATGGACAAAAAATCATGAAAGCAGCATCTAAGCAATATTTGCATATTGATATTAAGAACATTTCTATAATGGCGCTATAATCATGTATAATAAATAGGTATGTGAGGGTGAGCGTATGAGACTCTTGTACATTCATATCCATTCACTTACACTCTCATATCAATGAATGAAGTCAAGCCGTTCGGCAATACAACACAATATTCGGCAAGCAAACGATATCACAAAAAACTTTGCTCAGATCTGGGCTTTGTGGTTAAAAAGAATGATCCGAAATCAATATAGAATATAGTAGAAAACAATGGGTAGTGTGATGTGTGGGTATGGCTGCAAAGATGAAACATTAATATCCACTCACTTCATACGCCTACACCCCACAGTCGCCTGTAACATAAAAATACAATGAATAAAATAGAAAATAACAGAACTCAAAAATTTCACGTTTCTGATGAAACCATAAGGTTTAGGTCTTAATCCATAGATTATACATATACCATCGATAATTTCAGAACTCAGAACACACACTCGAAGTGCTCCGAAATTGTATTATAGATTGATTTTTCGGTTTTATTTAGTGTTAATGTAGCCTCTATGAGTCATTGTAGTGTTCGACCATCGAGCTTGTGTTTATGCAAGAGTTGTCCTGTTGTATTGCTAGGGTTATGGGTGTTAATAGGTATTAGCATTTTTTTTACGAATACCCACGAATGATGGAAGAAAAAAAAACTTATTTGTCACGTATTCATTAAGAAAATATTGGCTAAATAGAAGTGACTATAAAATTTCCCGCACTTTTTAACGATATGGCTGTTTTTGACAACATATTTGGTAACGAACATGCATCGAATGTTCTTCGTCGTGCTTCTATTCACTATTGGCAAGTCAACTAAAAATATATCTTGTAGTTGTGAGAACATTTTTCGTAGCAGGTATGCACAATACAGNTAGGTATGTGAGGGTGAGCGTATGAGACTCTTGTACATTCATATCCATTCACTTACATTCTCATATCAATGAATAAAGTCAAGCCGTTCGGCAATACAACACAATATTCGGCAAGCAAACGATATCACAAAAAACTTTGCTCAGATCTGGGCTTTGTGGTTAAAAAGAATGATCCGAAATCAATATAGAATATAGTAGAAAACAATTGGTAGTGTGATGTGTGGGTATGGCTGCAAAGAGGAAACATTCATATCCACTCACTTCATACGCCTACACCCCACAGTCGCCTGTGACATAAAAATATAATGAATAAAATAGAAAATAACAGAACTCAAAAATTTCACGTTTCTGATGAAACCATAAGGTTTAGGTCTTAATCCATAGATTATACCTATACCATCGATAATTTCAGAACTCAGAACACACATTCGAAATGCTCCGAAATTGTATTATAGATTGATTTTTCGGTTTTATTTAGTGTTAATGTAGCCTCTATGAGTCATTGTAGTGTTCGCCCATCGAGCTTGTGTTTATGCAAGAGTTGTCCTGTTGTATTGCTAGGGTTATGGGTGTTAATAGGTATTAGCATTTTTTTTACTAATACTCACGAATGATGGAAGAAAAAAAACTTATTTGTCACGTATTCGTTAAGAAAATATTGGCTAAATAGAAGTGACTATAAAATTTCCCGCACTTTTTAACGATATGGCTGTTTTTGACAACATATTTGGTAACGAACATGCATCGAATGTTCTTCGTCGTGCTTCTATTCACTATTGGCAAGTCAACTAAAAATATATCTTGTAGTTGTGAGAACATTTTTCGTAGCAGGTATGCACAATACAGCAGCTATTCAATGTTATTCTTGCCAAGGCGGCTCGAGCTGTCAGGATCCGTTTAACAAAAATGGTAATGGCGTGCAAAATATCACGTCCAAAAATGGTTGGTGTTGGGTGAGATTTAACATATTGTCTTGTAAATCAACATTGATATCTTATATATTATTTTTAGAAAATCAAAGAAAAAAATAATAATCGACAAGTATTGGCTTGAGGTGCTGACTTTTCTTTGGGTGACGAGAGATCTTTGTGCTTGAAAAATCGGTGCCGCGAGAGAATATTATTCGACTCAAAGGCTTTTTTCTGTTGCTGCAACACGGAACTGTGTAACGGTGCAAGTCAAATACAGTTGACTAGCTCTATTGTTTTTCTTATAATTCTTTTGATTAGTATTCGACAATATTGCTTACAATATCTTCCATTATGTTTTCTTTTTTCGCATAAACTGAACAGATTCTATGCTTATTTCATTTAATGATTGCCTTTGTGCGAAAACTGTCATTATAAATAGCGATACACTGAATTCCAATAGCATGATTCTGGATCCATTATCGATTTTCCTTTTTTCAATATGTATGTTAATACTCAATACTCACATCTTTTTTCAGTTTGAATCAGAAAAATATGCAAAATATCTCATACTAATAATACTGGCGTACTTGTTATATGAACAACGAATGTCTGTGAACATTAAGTGTATAACACAAATCTAAGAGGCAACAATTTATGATGTTTCGACATAACTGAGTCTCGGTGTAACAGAATGCACTCATCCATCTACAGAAGTGTTTAGTTAAGGTGTTGTGGGTGGGAGTAAAAAGACAATACATACATAGACCGTCAGACATTCACTCACATCCTATTGACACTATTGGTTTGCAATAAAATTTTATAAATATGATGATGATCAATTCTTAGTAATGTAAATTCCTTTAAATATAGTCGGGAAAAAATGAAGTAGAATTAAATATTATTTGGTTTTCTTCGTATTAGAACGGATAATAAAATGTATATTCGATAATTTTATGCAGTATTCCAAGAGTTCAACAGTTACTTTTTCTAGTAGGGTTCTACGACTATTTCATGAACAGCTTGAAATTTAAGAAAAAAACACATTACTAATATCACATACAATGTTTCCAGAACATATCTTTCTTTTAGAAAATGAATAAAATGCTATGAATTCGAACTGTTTGTGAGAAAAACGATATATACATATATATCGGAAAAATTAATCTTCAGTTATATTCAAAGACAATCAAACTATACGGATCATCTTTTTCTTATTTTATATTCTAACGATAAAAATCAACTATTTACGTACAGTTGACTTGTTGGGAGATCACCACGTTCGATCTCAATTTCTTCTTTCGATTGTATAGATAAAAATTTTTGTTAAACAAACTGTATGTTCAACTTTAACAAGTTTATTGTCGCCTACATTCATTAGTAATATATTAATAAGCTTAAATTTCAAAAATTAACGTTCAAGGAAAAAAGTAACGAGGGTGTGAATGAGAATTTGGAAACAGAGAAGACCTGCATCCATTACATGCATACACCGCGCCCCAGCCCCCCCGCCCGCCCAGACCGCAGTCACGCGACCGAGAC